ATGAGGTGTAAATATTTCAGGATCAAACCCAAACCTGATTGCTGAAGAGGCTGTGTTGTGATTTTTTTTCTGTGAAAATGTGACCAACCCTGTTAACAAGAAGGGAAAAGTTATCTCTGCTTTCATTATGACCCAAAGGTTCTACCCACCAAACTGAGGATCTCCTGGTAATCCTCATCATAATCAACATTGTTCTTTTGCAAACACTTTGGTGAAACCAAGTGGCCTGGAATCACACCAGTAGCTTTGGGGCAAAGTCCTGATGAGCAATCAATTAGCAGGGTAGGCCTCATTACAGAAAATATTATTTTACTATATAGATTTACCTGCATTTTATGACAAATAAATAGTGAAGGAAATGGATCCCTGAAGCCCTTTAAGACTTCATTGAGATGTGGGACAGACTGGAAGAACTTTTGACATTAACTCATTATCTTTCATACCCTATTTCAGGCCTGCTTCAAATACCAACATTCTTGACAATGTATCATGAGACAATCATCTCTCTGCAACCACAAACATTCAGAATCAAGGATTACATATAACATGATGAGAGGCAAACAATTTTGTAGCACAAGGGGGTGCAGACAGTCTTTTTGGGATGTAAGCAGCTGAGTGAGCACAGGTTGACAGACCAAGTGTAAAAGAGCCAATTACAGACCAAATTAGAGCTGTTTACCAACAGAGCATCATTCCTTCCAACAGGAGAGATGGTACCTGGAGACATGGAGACAGGCTGAGAGAGTTGGGGCTGTTCAGCCTGGAGAAGAGAAGGCTCCAGGGAGACCTTAGAGCACCTTCCAGTGCCTGAAGGGGCTCCAGGAAAGCTGGGGAGGGGCTTCTTATAAAAGGCATAAAGTGACAGGATGAGGGGGAATCATAAAATCATTGAATGTGTGGGATTTAACTGGAAGTGGGGAGATTTAGGTTAGACATTAGGAAGGAATTCTTTTCTGTGAGGGTGGTGAGACACTGGCACAGACAAGCTGTGGCTGCCCCATGCCTGGGGGTGTTGAAGGGCAGGTTGGATGGGGCTTGGAGCAACCTGGTCTAGTGGGAGGTTTCCCTGCCCATGCAGGGGGGTTGGAACTGGATGATCTTTAAGGTCCTTTCCAACCCAAACCATTCTATGAGTCTATGATGATGATTCTGTGTGCAAAATGTCAGGATTTAAAGCAAACAAAATGCTTGTTCCCTCTATGCAAACTGGCTTTTCAAGAATCCTGCTACTCAACAGTTGGTAGCTGATAATTAGAAGGAGATTTTTAACAAAAGCATATTCCTGTGCAGTCTGTAACAATATGTTCTTGCAATAATTTAGTCCTTCATCTACAAGAGTATTTCCTCCTCGATATTTATACCTCAGAAGTACTTATGCCTTAAAAAAAAGGCCATTCTCTGTCTTCTTTCCTCCCAACAAAGCCAACCAAGCTCATTTATTCATCTTTTAAATGAAAGCTGTTTAAAGGCCACCTCTGACCCATCAGTTTTACTACATCCTAAAGATTTAAAGGTTGTAGAATATTTAACTACTGGCATAAGTGAACTTATTGTAACAAAAAAATGTTGATTAAGGATTGGTAAATAATAGAATAATATTATTCTATTAATTAACTTAATTCATTTTTGCAAAAGCTGCTTCATTTAAGCAGTATATAAAGCAATATAAAATCAATAAAAACAAACAGAATAGGAACTGTGTATTTAGCAGCAAATAAAAAAAATAGTAAAAATAATAATTAAAACTGATTGTATTCAGTGGCTGGTGAATTTTAGGTAATCAGATTTTTGTAATTCTGGCATTTGCCCACCATCAGGTATTGCCATGATTTTTATAACTCACCACAATATGTGAAACTACTCTGTGGCTTTCAGGAAAGAGCAACATCAAATGAGAGAACAATTACAATTCATTCTTTCCACTCAAAGACAACCATTTACACATGCATTTTTGGGTAAGATTCTGTTAGACAAACACAAAACAATGTCATGCACAACACAACACAACAGCAAAGAGACACAGAAAGAAGTCATCAAATTTTACAATAAACATGAGCTCTCCCTTCCCTGGTAAAATAACAGTCATTAAAAGATGTTTGAACCTCAGAAACTGCCTAATGTACATGGATAGTTTTAACCACAGTCTGCAGTTAAGGGAGGTTGAATTGTTCAATGCAGAATTTTGAAAATGTCTTCACATAATTATTTACCAACATGTTGCTGATGGTATTGAAAGCCTCCAGCATGGTCTTTAAGTTATGGTCAATGGAAAGGAGACAGTGAGGCAAATGTCCTAGGGTCAAAAGAAGGCTCACCTCGTTGCTGGAAGGGTGCTGACACGTGTAAAGAAGACAGATGGCTCTACTTCTACATGAAGGCCTAGGGAGAGGTTCCTGTAATATCCTTCAACATGTCCTGGTCCACCAGAGTACTTAAAATTCAAAATGGCTTCCAGTGTCTGGAGAAAGAAAAGTGAATTACTTATTAGCTATGTTTCCTTACTGTGCATTTCACAAGTTCAGTTAAATTGGACCACAGAAGTGATTTACCAGCCCTCAAGAATTTGGCCTCCTAACCCATCCATTCTGTTATTGCAATCCAACAAATAATCTTAGGGAAACAGTTGCTTTTTTTACCCAATCCTGTAAAAAAACTAAGGAGTACAGAATAAAGTCAGCTGGACTTCCCATTACATTATTCCTTTTCATTTACCACATGTACCACAGAAAAACAAAGAGGT